CATGGAAACATGTACATAACATAAAGCATAGAATATACACAACGTTGTGATGCTATACAATGGGCACAACTGCATTTCTTGATGATTGATGTGGAATGATGTCAAGAGCTTTGCTATACTAAAACCTAGAACACAATACAAGATAAAAATCTTCAATTTTTTTAAGAACAAAAAATAAATATAACATCAGTGTGCCCAAATAAGATAAATATTGAGTTGCTTCCCAAGTGCCTTTCTACAACACTCAATTCCACCTCCAAAATAAGATTAAATCAAAATATATTCATTATATTTATATTCAATGTCCATTACTCCATATGGATAAACATTAACACTAAACAATCCTAACAAGCTGGAGTTCAGCTTTCTAAAATATAATTTTAATCTAATAAATAGTAAAATCTCCTATCCAGATTCCAATTATTTCTTAACAAGATTTTTGATTAAGTCCTCTCTTAGTTTACTCCTTATACAAATTAGCATTTTCATATGTTTGCAATCTTATTTCTTTTAACTTGTTTAATTGTAATAACTATTTTTCACCCAAATCCTTAAAATTATATATGAACTTCTTAACAGCCCAATAAGCATTGTATTTTATTTCTACTATTAAATGATAAGCTTTTTCAAAAATGAGCTTTTAGGAAGACATTCCAGTGAGTGTTTCAAAATTAGTCCCATAAGCCCATAATGCACCATCTAATATTAAAGACAAGTCTTTCCTATTTGGGTTGACCATCTTTTCTAATATTCTCATGATCTCCCTATTAAAAATTTTTACTTGACCACTAATTTGAGGATGATAACTAGTGGCTATTCAATGGTTAATCTTTAATGTATATGCTGATATATCAAATTTGTTATTGTAAAAATAAATCCCTCCATCTCTAATAATCATCATAGGCATTCCAAACCTTATAAAACTGCTTTTTAAGAAATTTAATAACCAACCTTTGAGTACTCCTAGGTAAAGCCAAACATTCATTTCCACCTTCAAACATAGTTCACTACTATCAAAATATATTTGTTTCAAAAAGATGAAATAAAAAGACCTATAAAGTCTAATCCCCATATATCAAAAAATTTAACTTTCAAAATATAATTCATGGGCATTTCAATCATCCTATAAATATTATCTACTCTTCGACAACTATCAAAATTTCTAATATAATCATCAACATCCCTAAAAATTATAAGTCATCAAAATATTAATTGTAAGATCTTAGATTTAGTTTTAAAATCTCTAAAATATCCACCCTATTTTAGGACATGGCATTGCCTAATGACACTCTCCATTTAACCTAAGGAAAATATACATCCTAATGAATTAGTCCTTAGAATTTTTAAATAAATATAGTTCAACTTAATAATAAAACTTGTCATCACAGATTATTTTTTTAATTTAGTGATATGAAATATCATTAGGTGAAATAACACTCAAAATAGATTTCACTATGTCAGAATACCAAGGAATAATTTTCTTAACTATAGCAAATAATAGTTTACTAGGGAAAAACTTATTAATATCATTTTCAATAAGTATGGAGTTTCTCATATATAATCTAGAGAAGTGATTAGTCTTTTGATTTTCAGTACCCTTTTTATCATGAATTTCTGTATCAAATTCCTATAATAGAATGACTCATCAAATATGTTGTGGTTTGGTATTCTTCTTACTTATAAGATACTAGATGATAGAATTATCCATATAAATAGAGACTTTGGTACCAATCAAAAAAGATCTAAACTTGTCAAATACAAATATTATAGCTACTTATTCTTTTTTAATGGTTAAATAATTACTTTAGGCATCATGTAATGTTTCCCTAGCAGAATATGTTACATTAAAATGTTTAACTATCCTTTTACGTAGAATAAATCAAACAAAAAAAAATCACTTGCAACATAAAATAGTACAAAAGGATAAGGTGCGACTAATATCAGTGCAGTGAATAATTAATTTTTAGCAGGTAAAATTTTTTTATGCATTCATTATTAAATTTAAAAATATTGTTCTTTAACAATAACAAAAAGATTTAGTTATTTTAGAAAAGTCCTTAATGAATTATCCATAAAACTCAACATGCCTCAAAACACTACTAATAATTTTGATAGTTGTAGGAGGTCATAGATTTTTTAGGACCTGAATTTTAGCTCCAATTACCTTTATCCCTTTTTCATATATCTTATGCCTAAGAATAATGCCTTGTATAATAATAAATTACCAAGTTCTTAATTTAGTACTAAGTTCATCAAGTTGTATCTTTGTACCACAATGAGTCAAAAGGAATGTATAGTATGAAAAAATCATCCATAAAAATCTCAATATTCCATTCAATAAGATAGACTAAGAAAGACAACATACGTCCTTGAAAGTTAATAAGAGCATCATAAAATTAAAAAGGCCATGCTATAATATTTCATTATTTACTACTTTTTTCATAATATAATTTAATCTTCTCTGAGCATCTACCTTTGGTTGAAGTTTGGTGATTATCTCCATTAAAATCTTATACATACATAAGGAAGGCTAACTTATTCTATATCTTCTTTAATCCAATCAAAGGCTCTTCTATACATCCTCAAAAATCTCATCAACTTTCCTCTTATAATTAATCTATATCAAAAGAAATGATAATGGGTAAAGATAATGATTCGCCTTAGAAAACATGTCTATGTTATTTGGGGAGTGTCTTGTGTTCTAATATAGGTGCCTCTACAATTGAAGGTTTTGAAGGTTTTACTATAGTATAGGTCTCTAATAGCTCAACTCTGTTCATAAATCATCTAGAGGGTGCATCAAAAAATAAAGAAAATTAATTTCTATTTTTTTTAGTAATCAAATGATGCACTATTGGCACAACCGCCAACTTGTTATATAATCAGTCTCTCACACACCCTTCCACTCGATCCATTCTAAAGCATTAATCTTCACTAAGGTTGGAGGAATTTGCATAAATCTCAATAACTTAAACATAACTTTCTAATCATTAACTCAAAATTTTAATTCACCCTTCTAAACATCAATCATAGCTCTTTTTTTGTGCCAAAAAAGGTCTACAATGGATAATTTAGATTTCCTTAACTTCCAAAAAAGGTCTACAATGGATAATTTAGATTTCCTAAACTTCTATATCTAAAGCTATGAAATTAGTATTAGTGACATAACAGACAAAAAAATTGTCTACATTTTTTATTAAAAATATCAAGTTTTTTGTAAATATTATATTGAGAAATGTGTTTTGTGCAAAATTTTCCCTAGGAGAAGAATATGAATGAAATCAAGATTTGAAGCACTGGAGCAATAATGCCACCAGGACAAATCTGTAATGTTATGTTAAGAAAATTCTCATCCATGTTTTTTGAGAGCAATGCATCACATCACCAACCCAAAGTGCCTCAATGCTAAGATGCAGCATCACAGTGCTAGTGCCCACAACAACTCATTGCATATCTAGTACAATATTAAACCACCAAATAAAGTGTATAGTACCTCAACATCCATTGTCAGCACTACTCCATCATTCATAGTGCCATAGCGCTTATCCTAGAACACCAAAGTGATAGATCATGCCAAACCTCAAAGAAAGAGGATAGAGAGTAGAGTCACAACGTTATTCAAGAGCTTTATAGTGTTATAATAACCATGTAGCACGAGAGCTTTAGTGCCATAGCATGTTTCTCTATCAAATAATTTTTCCTAATGCCATTACAAAATTCTATGAGAAGTAATATAATTATAGTATCTCCAGCCCTATCAAAATTTTTTTCATATTCAACCATTATTCGTTTGATCCTTATCCTAATCACATCACAAGAGTCCTAAAGATGTATGGAATCATTGAAATTAAAGGAACTAAAAAAACATGCAAAATTTAATCTCTTTATTTTACATGATAAGCAAATCGAGAAAATTAAGTACCCAAAAAAAGAGTAAATTATGAAGTAACATAACAAAATAAATAATAGAATGGAATAGTTAGTAGTCATTAAGGCTGAATTTAGAGGTAGAATTGATGCTTATATACATTACAATCACTCATCAAGTAGAAGCTATGTTAGACTTTAGACTTTTAATTGATGATATTGAGCCAATGGTAAAACTTATAGGATAACTTTGGTGATGAAAAGGGCAATAATTATTCCAAAAATTACATGGATTGGGATGATAAACAAATATTAGAAACAAGTGGTTGAAGTTTGAATGAAGAAATTGATTTATATGTATATGCCTATTTTGACAACTAATATGCATTTTTAATTTAATTATTATAAACTTGAGAGAATTTGCTATTTGAACTAATTATCTCTAAACATTTACAACACATGACACTATGAGGTGGAAATGATCTTCCTCAAAAGTTAATAACCTTTATTTTCAGAAGGAAGAGGAAGGCCACTTTATGGCCTTATTTGATGACCATTACTCCCACCAAAACCATCACCACTCAGACCACAGCAATTGCTACTTTTCTAGCATACTACAGTTTACTAAATCGTTCCCCATACCCTAATTTGAGCATCTCCTTAACTGCTAGGACCATTCATGCACCTCTTTCAAAATTTAGTTGATGTTTGTAATTAAAGCAACCCTATGATTTTAACCCACCAATTTTTTTTTTTTATCACCATGCAATTTTCATATAACAACTCATTATTTAAAAAAGGTATGCAATTAAATTTCTCGAGTTAAACATCAAACGCTAACTATCACAAATTATTAACATTTCTCGACATTAGATGATGATAATGACAACGAAAATATATAAGGGTAAGGAATTTAGGAGGAAAAAGGGAAATTTTTCCTTGAGTTGAAATGTTGGCTGATTTCATTATTTAGCAAGTGTAACAGGCATGATTATGATTCAGTTGAGGATAGCCACTATTATGATATTAAGTAGCACAAAATATTGACTATCATTTTGTCAGCATCTGCTACAGCAGATCCTGACCGCTGCTGATGATGAATTTCAAAGAAAAATTGATCCAATCAAGGCAATTTTTAACATTTCCAAATATTGTACAACAACTCATGGATTTAATATAAATGCTGCAGGAAGTCTCTTAATCTGATGCATCTAGACAAAAATAAGATTGCTGTGAAAAGCTCCTCAAATTAAACAAGATGAACTGTATGATTTTCCTTCTTCCAGTTATGGAGGTACATGTATATAAAGTTAGGTCATCAGAGCTCTTTAAAAAATGGTTAAATGTATATCTCCATGTCTGCTTTACTAAAAGTTTAAAAAGAGAATCATCTCATTTTTCCATGTTGAGTATCCTCTCTGCGAATAGAAGATCATCTGGAGTTGTGACCTGCAATATATGAATACCCAGATAAATAATAATCATCGGTAGTTGCAATTTTCATTACCAATTAACTGAAAAGTGCTAAAACTTCCTAAAATTCTAAAATAAAATGCGGAACTTCTAAGCAATACCTTAATGTTTGTGTAAGAACCTTCTGTTATATATACAGGATGTTTCAAGTGTTCCACGATTGATACGTCATCAGTGACTTCAAGACCTTGTCTGTCAGATAAAGGAAAGAAAGTAAACTTTACACAATGAAATTAAAAATTTTGGATGATTAAAACTTTTGAAATTCAAGATGATGAACACAGCTGACCATAAGTAATAAACAAAAACAAAAGTGAAATCGAGTTGATGATGGCGATGACAATAATTTAAGGTAACCTCCATGCTTCTTCCTTTTCTTTTGATTTCCTTTAAATGTATGAAAGTTGGGAATTCTCTAAATGTTAGATGAAGTAAGCTTAAAAATAAATCTTAAGGGCATTTGATAGGAGCATTTATTATGATAACATCATTTTTCTTTTTGCTAAATCGCAAACTATCCGTGGGCTGCACTTGAACTATACTAATTCAAAAGAAGTGAGGCAATCAGAAAACGGAAAAAGAATGAGAGAAATAAGATTCACAGTTGATTGGATTCAAGTACAACGGACTAGAGGGAAAAAATGACAAACGGTACAAACCCTTGGCCCTCCCTGAGATCTCAAATTTATGGATCAGGGTTTTGGGACACGAGTTTTATAGAAAAAGCTATACATAAAGCAATACATATGTACACAAAACTAAAAAGTACAATAGGCCTATGGCCTTGATGTAAAATGGCGTTGAACGGCCAACTCATTAGAGGTTTTGCTTTATCTCCTGCTAGATTGAAGTACATTGATGATCGCAGTCAACCTAGCCAGCCTTATTGACTCACAAAGTTCGAATAGGATGAAGATGAAGTCCTGGAAACTAGGAAGGTGTTTGATGAGGGTACGAGTGGGTTTATCTCACTACTAGTAGATGGAAACCATGAGCCCGATATAGGAGAACATGTCTCCGTAATCATTTACTCAGCCTAATACGTATTAGGGGTGAGCACTTTTCACCAATGAATCATCAAAATATCCATACTGTGCTCTCAAAAGTCCCTACACCTCATTACCAATATCAAATTAGTCACATGAGCACGTCACATTATTTTAATGATTACCAATTACAGTAATGAATGAAAGACATGATTTCACGAGCTTTGCAAATAATAGATATATCATTAGAACAATTTAAATGAAGATAAATGAATTAGGGAACAAAATAATGCCTTTTCCGTGTAAAAAATCACACAGTATAAAATATCATAGATCATATGAACCAACGAGGTAAGGTAATATTTAGGAAAAAAAATCTTGGAAACTTTCAAAATTACATCATATCACATATGTGCATGTCAAGTAAAAAATATCTCTTATATGATCCATACCATTACAAGTAATTTACTACATAAAGAGTTCGAAAAATATATGTTTAAAATTTATATAATTAAATAATCAAAAATAAAATAGGATTTGTGGCTTCTAAAAAAAATTTGGCATCCGTTAAGTATCTAGATGTCTCCGTAATGGTTGGTATCACCATGCAAAATTTTAGAGAATTCGGACACTTGAAATAAAATGTAACGGGTCTCCGCAAAGTATGGCAAGTCTCCACATAAGTCAAAATCTTGAAAATTTTAATGGCAATTCTACCGTTTAAAATTAAATGAAGCCCAAAATTTTAAATTTTGGGGGGAATATTGGCAATGTAAAACATAGATTAAGTTAAATCAAACAATTTTATTATTCAGCATTAAAATAATTAAACCTCATCACCTAATATATACATTCTCTCAAGGGTTTAAATGAATGGGTTCCCTATTATTTTATTCTTTTAAAACCTTGACTTTCTCTCATCTATTGCTTGGAAGCACCAAAGCTGTTTCATCGAATTTCTTATTAAGTGGAACCGAGATACAAAAGAGATATGAAGTGCTTACTTCATGGAAAATCCTCTATTAATCTAAGATCGTGTGAAGCTTAGCTTCTTCACATATTGTCATGTATGCTCATAAGAACTCGTTCCATTGGTTGTATTTCTTTTATATTAAATTTTTTATATGGTTATTGGGTTTTTTGATGGTGGACATGGAGAAAAGAACCCTAAAAATAGAAGATTAAGAGTGTTTCAATAGAAGGGAATTTACCACAAGATAAAATTACATTGCAAAAGTTTCTACATCTATTGAGTCATAATTTTTTATATGAAAATTTGCATAAATGCCATGCAATTCTTATACATTAACATATCTAACACCCAAAGTTCGACATTTACACTTATAACACTTAGGTGTCAAAAAAGTCCGCATAAAAAGGTTTGTCACTTTAAAAAAAGTAGTGATGGTAGTATTTTTGATCTGATGTTAAAGAATCAAACTAGTATGCATGTAAATATGAATGTTTGGGTTTTATATATGTAAATACATAAGAATTATGTGGTATGTATGTAAATGCACCTTTTTATTTAGTACAGATTACACAGGAATCATCATGATATTTTTGTATGATTTGCACTCCTTGCATGGTTTTTACATTACAAAATTTGGTGATGAAATTTTCATATTTTGTACATGTATTACTCATTTTTAAAAATTAGAATCTATAACAGAGCTTAGCATTCAATATTCGAAAATTTCACTCATCTTTAGTTTTATCTACTAATTAAGTGAAAAAAATAGTATTTTTACAAAAATTGTTATTCCTATGTTATCCATAGCATTACAAGTAATTTAATACATAGAAAGTTTGAGAAATTTATGTTTAACATTCATAAAATTAAATAATATAAGCTTCCGCAAAGTATATGAGAGTCTCCATGATGGTTTGTCACCAAGCAAAATTTTCGAAACATCGGACACTTGGAAATAAATATAACGGGTCTCAACAAAGTGATGCAAGTCTCTGCAAAAGTCAACTTGAATATTTTAATAATAGTTTTACCCATTGGAAATTGAATGAAGCCCAAAATTTTAGAAATTTTGGAAAAATTCATGGCAATAAAAAAATAAAATTAATTTAATTTAATATTTTCTAAATTTAGACATAGATATTACAAAAACTAGAAACCTAAAATACATATTCTCTTAAGGATTTATGTAAGTTTCCTGTTTCCTATTATAGCATTCTTTTAGAGCCCTGGCATTCTCTAATCTATTTCCTAAATCTCCTTCATCATAAGAAAAAAAAAGGTAAAATTGAGATATAAAAGAGATGGAACTGCTTACTTGATCAAGGAAACCTCTAAATATTATAAGATCATGCTAAGCTTAGCTTCTTCACATACTATCACCTACACTCATAAGAAGCCATTCCATTTGTTGTATGTCTTTTATATTGTGTTTTTATATGGTTATTTTGGTGTTTTGATGGATGCCACAAAAAAAGAAGCGTTTCAGTGAAAAAGGGAGACAAAGAGAGTACCTTGATTGACGAGAATTTATCACAAGGTAAAAGTATGTTGCAAAAGCTTCCCCACCAACGAAGGATCAGCACAATTTTTTATGTATTATAGGTTGCACAAGAATCCTAGGTGTGGTAAACGAAAACTTCAAATAAACCACCAAAAAATTATTGTGTTCGTATGATGTGCTCTTCTTGCATGTTTTTACATTATATACTTTGGGATAAAATTTTCATATTTCGTAAATGTATTATACATTTTATAAAAATGAGGAACTATCACATAGCTTGCATTAAATATTCCAAATTTTCTCTCACCTTTAATTTTATAAACAAATCAAGGAAAACAAAAAATTAGTATTTTAGAAAAAAAATTTATGTAGCCTAATTTAAAGAACTATTCAGGATGAAAGTCGCTGAAATCATTACTGAAATGTTCAGATAATTTAATAAGATCGTCAATGGGTTACGTGCACTTTGAAAATAACACTCCGATCGTGAACAGGGAAATAAAACCTAAGATCTTTACCAAAAGAGCAAATATAAAAGTAACACCAATTTTTTAAGCAAGAGATTTAAGTTTTTATTCCGCTCATCATTTGCATGGTTCGTCAATAACTCATGAGCAAAAGTTTGTGTTAAGAGAAGATGATGACAACTTTAAAAAAAACCAAATGATGTACTGTTCAAGTATAGCAATGTGGGCGACCATGAGTCATCATTTACATAAACTAACAAAAATGACAAGGTGCAACAAATAAACCAATGTGGAAGAATTCCTAGAATTACAAGAATAGAAACAAAGGGTATTAGTATAAATTTAAATTTAATAAAAAATTGACTTTATAAATAAAAAGAAGGAACTTCCAACACGTTTTAATATAAAACGTCTGACCTTAAATCAAATTGTCTAAAATAGGAGAAAAGAAAAAACTTCATTTAAAAAGTCAAGAATGCAATAAAAGTGATACGAGAGGACTCAAAAGGCGAGGACACATGATTTAAAGAGTCCAATCAAAAAGAGTTGAATCTAAGTCTAATAGCAACAAATGATCCAATAGAAGAGTTAAACAAAGATTACTAATTAAAATTTTACAATATTTTGCATGAAATAAATGGTGAGTTAGTAATTTTAAAAAGAAAACATAGTTTTTTGAAAAAAGAAAATGCAAATTTATGATTACAACATGCAAAACTTAAAAATGATTTACAAATAGTTAAAAAGAAAATTGACAACTACATGACAAAGCCTTTTTGGGACAAATTATTGAAATAAATTAGTAAATATTGAAATTTAAAAATGATCCATTTCAAAAATAAAAGAAATCCAACTCAAATACAAGTAGTTATAAATCTAAAAGTAAGAGAACTTCACATATAAAACGTTAATTGCAAACAAATACTAAGTGCGCAGCGTGCGATCAGACATAACACAGCTAGGAAATATGTCTAGATTCCTAGATTAACACATATAATAGTAACTAGGATGCTTACAATGCATACTTATTATACTATTTATTTCACTAATGGACCCAACAAAATGTAAGTTATGGACCTAATGGAATAAACTATTATGCAAGTTTGCCTTCACTCAAGGAAAAGTGAAAGAAAAATAGTACTTGAACAATGATTTATCAAGACATATGAACAAAGACTAGACATTGTTCGCTTCATTGAAACTCATGCCAACATGTGTATCTTATCAAACTTATTTAAACATGAGCTGGTTAGGTTAGACTATGC